TCTGGGTCATGGCACCAATGTAACCTCACCGGGCCTACACCACCCAACCAGCTCCGAGCTGGGATCAAACCGGCAACTTTCCGCATAGGAGTCGGTTGCTCTAACAAGGAGGCTAAAGTTTATAGCACCTTTAGAGGTCAAAGGATTGAGGTTTACCTTAACAGCACTTCACTAGCTGGCCTCTGCTAAACACTCCCTAAACCTCACTCTCATCCGGGTCACGGCACCAATGTAACCACACCAGTCTTAAACCACCCAACCAGCTCTGAGCTGGGATCAAACCGGTGCCTCTCCGCATGGGAGTCGGTTGCAATAACAAGAAGGCTAAAGACCATTACTCCCAGCGTCTGTCGCGAGAGCACTTTTAGAGGTCAAAGGAGTGAAGTTTACCTGCACAGAACTTCACTAGCAGGTCTCTGCTACACTCAACCCCCTAAACCAATGTAACCCCATCGGTTCTACACCACCCAACCCGCGCCGAGCTGGAATTGACCCGGCGACCTTCCGCATAGGAGGTTGGTTGCTCTACCAAGATGGCTAAAGACCACAGCCTCATGCGTCTGTCGATAGACCACCATAAGAGGTCAGAGGAATGAGGTTTACCTGCACAGCACTCCACTAGCTAGACTCATTAATAAGTGATTGTTTTTATTATAGGGTGTCATGTTTGACCCTGTCATGTTTTTACACATGTATTAGGCCAAAACACCAAACCTAAAAATTTGGGCTGTCTCTGTTGTTTAACAAGCCCGTCAATATCAAAATGACCGAGATGGCCAATCAAATTAGTAGTAATAGGTAGGATTTAGTCCTTACAGAAGCAGAGGGTCAGTTCGGCTGTGGCCTTGTCAGTTAAACATAGAAAAAGAACGAGGTTAGATGAAGAACAAAATGTTTTATAAATGTAAGTCATTTAATATTTTTTAATATATTGTCATGCAAATTATAACGTTTTTTCCTTAATTTTACCGTTACATACTGAATGGTACAATTTCGTAATACCTAACCACCACGCCGATGTATTAGATATGGTCCTATAGAAAACACTTCAGTAAATATGAGTTGAATTCTCACTGTTAACTACAAGCTTATTAGCATCATTAATATATCGTCTGCTTATTATTACTTCAAGAGTACTTATTCTACATTCCTAATCCTACCCAATACCTAAATCCAACCACTAAATAACCTTAATAACTACCTAACTATTAATAAAAAGCAAATTTTAGAGTCTATAAAAAAATATGAGTTTAAGGCAAAAGTCACGGTTAATGGTTTATTAATTGCTAAAATTGAACCTTAAAATAAATAAAGTGTGACTGATGTGTAAATAGGAGTGAATGTGAGAATGTTCAAATATTATTATATATACAGAATATTATATAAACAGTTGGTCAAAAATTATTAGCCCCCTTAAAAATGTTTTGTTCTTTTTAAAATATTTTTCAAATGTTAAAGAGAGCAAGGACATTTTCACAGTATGTTTGATCTTTTTTTCTTCTTCTGGAAAAAGTCTTATTTGTTTTATTTCAACTAGAATAAAAGCAGTTTATAATTTTTTAAACAACATTTTAAGGTCAAAATTATCAGCACCTTAAAGCAATTTTTTTCCGATAGTCTACAGAACAAAGCATCATTATACAACAACTTGCCTAATTACCCTAACCTGCCTAGTTAGTTTAAGCTGTATAGAATTGTCTTGAAAATTATCTAGTCAAATAATTATTTACTGTCATCATGACGAAGATAAAATAAATCAGTTATTAGAAATAAGTTATTGAAACCATTATGTTTATAAATGTGTTGAAAAAAAATCTTCTCTTCGTTAAA